GATGATGATTATTATTATTATTATTATTATTATTATTATGAGGATGATGATGATGATGATAATGAGGATGATGATGATGATGATGAGGAAGATGGTGATGATTTTGAGGATGATGATGATGATGATTATGATTATGATGATGATGTTGAGGATGATGATGGTGATGATGATGGTGATGATGATGATGACATACTAACGTTAATTTCAGGCAGCCGTCAGGAGAGGTTTAGTCGTCATGATTCGTCCCAATTATGCTGAATTTGAGGGACAAGACTGCAACATATGGAAATTTGTTGTTTAGGATATCGTCAATTGGTACCAATGAGACTATCTAAACTGGGATTCCTTCCTGCAAATGGAGCTTAAAAATATTGTACAGTTGAGCAGTGGGCACTTTAAGAGCCAGGTAATAGGTGACCCGGTAATACGGCTTCCGCGATTGATCACAATGCTCAGCGGCTGTTCGTGGCCAATACTCAACCACTGGCCAGAAGGTAGTGGGTCCGAAATTCTCTGAGAGTTGTAAGATGCGTACTGTTGATGGTTCTTCGTAAGAATGAAATAGATATATACAGTTCTCCTCGGCTTTCCAAAGTTGGTTGGTTCCACTTACAGGACGAAATGCAATTCGGACATTCGCAAACTTCAATCTGTAATGAGAGATTCCAACTTCACAACGAAATGGTCACTTGATAATGTGCCCAAATATTGGTGGTTCTGAGGAAGGTAGTGTTAGATAATTCATTTGCGGAAATTGACAGCTGACTCACAAACGATTCGCTAACATTCAAGTAGCTCGGGAAAAAATCAGTCGTTGATGCCTAGCAGGTGTACGCTGGAATTCGAAAACAAACTGAAATGGATTGCTTAACGAGAGAATACCGTAAGAAGCCTTTCGACTGTTCGTCTGCTGTTTACCTCCTCTGGGTGTTCTGTTTGATTATTCTTTGCACATTGGCCCAGCCCTTGTACAGTTGTTCGGTTACCAAGCAGTCGGCTCGCCCGTGTCTTGTACAGTCCGGTCGTTACTATCTTCGGTTTTGAATACGGACTAGGGTGAACCAATCGGCCACGATTAGCGTGTTGGTGAGGAGCGAAACGCCTCACAAAACCTCTTGAATGAATGAAAAAGAGCGATGGTGATGAACAGTGGAAGTTTGAAGATAAAGTAAACAGGTTTACCTCGGCAACACCCGCAGCAGTTGCGTTCCACTACCTGTGTTATTCAAACTATTTAGTGACGTCCTCCCTGAACCGGCTTTGCAATGACCCAGGATATTGTTTGATATTTCTATCCCCACATGTTTGGGATTTATTAGATTGCCACAAATTCCACTCACGTGGAACATTTCATTGATAAACAGGATGTAATCAACCGGCAGATTGCATTGTTTCGGGACTGAACACATCCGGTTTCCGATTATTAGGGTGAATCAAGGAGATCGACCAGTGGTGCAATATTTTCGGGACAACGAGTTGGCCGTCAACCAGAACCGGGCCGATTTATCCAACTGACTGTCTGCTAGTCACAACTGGAAGGATTTCGTGACCAATCGTACACTGAATGGTGGCCACATCTGGTCTGAGCATGGCTCGTCCAATCATCTTACATCTGCCTCCCCGTGCGGTTTCTCGGCAAAGGGGTGCCGCTTCGTCTCTCAAATGATCATGTGACTGCAAAGCTGGTGTTAATCACGTGACGTAATTATTTATGCTTCCCTATGCTTCCCTTCCTCAGACGAATTCATTGCCCTTCCGGTTACTGCTCAAGTTTTAAGACTGGACTACTCTATTTTATGCACACTTGACTCTATATTGACTGTTTTTCTATTCCAACTTTTTCATGACTCGATTTATTCACATTCACATCTGGGTTTGTTGTTGAACATTTTGTCTCACTTTGAACTGGACAACATTTTTCCCGTTTAATTTGTCTAATAGCACGCTGCCTTTTCTGTACCATCCCTAACTGTCCAAGGTTCCATCTAGCTGTAAGCTTTCCTTTAATTTTGCTCATCCTTTATTGTTACTTTCTTACAGCCTCACGGTCTACACATCTAAACGTCCGCTCACCCAGCTGCGACTACTGAACAAACGCAGGTGAAGTTCGTAGAACTCGGTTTCGCCATAAGTATTAGTGACCGTCCGTCGTTGAATTAGACTACGCGTTACCTGACAGATAGGACATCTAGATCGTGCTGTTAGACTAATTAACCAATTCCTGGCCTTGAGATCACGGCCTTAGCACAGGATCTGTGTGTCGACTGCCCTCTTCGTTTTCTACAGCCACCTGTAGCGGACTATTTACGCAACAATTGATGAAAGAAATGAACTTGACCCATATAAATATAAAAAAGTTAGAGTAAGGGACAGATGCTGCTAAAATGATTACAGAATCTCAAGACAGTGATAAACAGAAGATGGGAAAATTAGGTGAAATTGTTCGATCGATGAATTGTGAGTTTTTTAGAAGCCTTTTCTTGTCCTGCAAGAAATGAAGAATTTTATGGCGTAAAGAGATTTGTGAATTCCATCCCAAACACAAAGGAATTGCCAATACCTGCTGAAAGATATACTGTAATTAACCCTCCAAATATTTGCTTATGTATTACTAGAAGGAGGCAAGATCATCGACTTCTTGAAACCGCTCATGTGGTGCAACCGTCTATGGGATCATGTAACTGTAAATCCGATAATTAGATTGTCCATTCATTCGAGAAAATAATGTCTGGGTTCAGAGCTACTGTGTTTCGAATTACGGGGATTCTTGCAACTACAGGAGCTGTTTGTTGGAGAGGTTTGTTCATGTCTGGGACAAAAAATACAGCGTTTCATTTCCCGTTGAACGAAAATGTTTTAAGCGTCAAATACCTCGTTTGTAACGAGGCTGCTTGTGTAATCAGGTAATATGTTGATCACTGCAATCGCTGTTTATGGTTGCTTCAATTTTGAGGGCACACCCTATTCAACTGTATTGTCAACAAATGATGATTGTTAAAGTCATTAGCTGTTAAACACGCCGTTTGTTTTCATTAAGGAAACTACTCACAAGGTTGCTGAAAACCTTTTGACAGCCGGTTTCGCCCTTCCGCTTAGGGCTCATCAGGTAGGCGCAGTCACCGAGTTTCCGTCAACCTTATGTTCTACTTGCACCCAAATTGGACTGTTTTCGAGAAATACACTAATTTGCAAAGCAATTTGGTTTTTCACTAGAATATTCTAAACGAGAGATTCAGTTGAGTCTCTCGTGAAAACCAAATTGATTTGCAAATGAGTGTACTTCTCGAAAACAGTTCAATTTGGGTTCAAGTAGGACATAAGGTTGACGGAAACTCGGGGACTGCGCCCACCTGATGAGTCTCAAGAACGCCGTTTGTTCTTGGTTCCTGAAAATCATTTAGCGATAAAGGGTTGGGGAATCGGTTGATGTGGTCTTGCTGACAGAATTACCGACCATCGGTGCTGTGAGCTACATCTGGCATGTGAGAATCGATTCTAACAGTGTCAGGGATAATCAGTTCAAAACAATCTAAAGTCTTTCCGTGAAGACACGCCAGCAGTGGTCCCAGTTAGTGACTATCACGAAGAAACAGTGTCATCTTTGTTTTCTTCTATCTGCGTGAGTGGAATATAGTTAAAGTAGGCTGATGAAAATCCACTTGAAGATTCAGATGCAACTGAAATCTGGGGTGATCGAGGGTAACACAACCAAGTTGGAAAATTCTTCAAGGACAAAACACTTGGGGCTGCCTAAACGCTTCAAAGGTACCCATTTTATTTTGACAAAACTGCAACACACACGCCAACAATGATACTTGTGCCAGCCGCGTGCAAACAGATGTACTACAACCCTCAGCAGCTGA